GGCCTAGCCCAGAGCTGGACATTAATATAACATGGTGGGTTTAGAAGTGGTAGATTTGAATGCCTCTCCCCTGCTGAAACTCCTTCAAAATAACTAAATTGACACATATGTCTAAGAGGTAAAAAGTGAATGCAATAATAGACATGTAACAATCAAATCCACTCAACTGCATATCAATGTAATGTGGAGTATAATTTTTTAAATCTTTTAATGGGGGAAAGGACTCACAAAAGCAAACCCACAGACGTCATAATGAGCCCTGAATTCCTGTGAGTCAGCCAGGCCTGGATTCTACTTCATTCAAAACTAGCATTCTAGCTACATGGACAAACTTCAAACCAGAGATGACTGTACAAGTATTCATTTCAAGACTTCATTTATAATAATCATTACAAAGCCCACTAAATTCAATGAAACCATTGTTATCACTTAAAATAGGATGCATTTTATGATATGTAACATATAAATCATCAAAATTGCAAAAAGAAAACAAGATAGAAAGCCAGACAGAAAAGCAAACGCAGGTATACCTAACGATACAAGAAAGATAAATTTCAGATGACTGTATTTAACAGAGATTGGATCTGCAGAATTTACTCATCCTGAGAAATTGTACTTCTAATTTTGTAATGATGTCAATCTGCAATGAAACCAATCCATAGCATTTTTAAAACTTACATAGAACTCTTTTCAGTTTATTTAAAAAAAAGTAACAACAATCAAAAAGTTTATCTTAATATATTTATATACATAAAATATGAATGACATATAAATGTAGAGAAAGGACCACGGCATCAAAAGTGATAAAAACATTCTATGAAAAAAAGATAGAGTGCTAAAAAGAAAAACTAACTTATTGTAGTAGTAATTAAAGGAGTCTGGTTACAATTAAATACAGGAAGGATATTAAAACTTCCAAAAGATATTTCTGTAAGCCACAACAGAGGAATAAGAGCAACAGAATAATTGGAACCACATCCAAACCCACTTCCTTGTTATTTACCAATATCATCTAAAGAACACTGTTTAGATGCTGACGTTAGACAATCTTGAGTACACAACTTTAAATTATATTAAGACTAAAAGAAAAATCAAAAGAATTTTATGACAAGGGTTAAAAGTTTATAGCCTTGAAATTACAAAAAAAAAAAAAAAAAAAAAAGTGCCCACTACAAACCACATCCCGGCAACTGTCATGCTCTACAATGAATTACTTGAAACAGTTTTGTTGTGGTTGAGGCAATCATCTCTGAGTTAATAATTAACTACTATTCAAATCAAGTATAATTTGTCTATTGTACACTAGATCACTTTTAAAAGCGAGTACTAAATTTCATTTTTAGCATCAGACACAAAATGCTATAATCATCCATTTGTCATCCTATGTAACACATCAAAAAAAAGTAGAAAAGTAGGTTTTTACCACTGCAGGAAATCATAGTCATTTTCAAACCAACTGAGATTAAATGCAAATGTCCTATGTTTAATACAGGTGAATATTTATATTTTAGGAAGAAGATGAATAAAAGCTAAGTTTCCTATTATGTTAATATGAAAAGTATCTAGAAATGGATTTTAATTATTTTGTGGTTTGGAATTTTTACATGTGGAATCTATAAATGTTAACTTAAATTGAAACACAAAAGTTTAGTTAGTGAGGCTCTCCCTATTATGAAAAGTTGTAACAATTATGACAAAAAAATAAGTCAGTAAGAAACTTTTACTGTCAGCACATTTCTAACACTGAATTTTTTCCAATAATATAAAAACTTTAGTTGTCAATATAATGCTTCTTATTTACAAGTCATCTTTCATTAGAGCCTTAAAACAACCTTCTCTCTTACTATGCTAATATTTATAAATTACTATCCCCAAATCACTTACCCCTCCTCTCACCAAAAAAAAAAAAAAAACCGCAAAACAAGAACAACAGCAAACCAAAAAACCCCTTATCATTCTCTAGAGGAACCCCTCTTCTCCAGGTTTAGACATATAGTTTGAGTGAAGTTAATCCCATACCCAAGACAGGGAAGACTTAAAATACTCTGCCCTGCAGGTCTCATTAACCAGTTTAGTTAGTAGGAATGACCACTCAATCCAGTGAAACATGTGGCCTTGTTTTCTGGAATTTCTAGGAAAGAGAAATTTTTCTTCCATGTCAACTTTGACCTTCAAACTTTCCTGAATTACATGGTGTGAGAATGTAATGTCTGCAAGCAGAACTACTACAAGTTTAGCATCCGTAAGGAAGTGGAAACAAAGACGGGGAAAGACAGAGAACAAGAAAGAAAAGTGAAAATGGGAAAACAAGATAGATAAGCAAATAAAAAAAATCCAACAGAGGAGACACCATGTGCTCCAGCTAGAAAAGCACAGCTTGCATGACGAGGGCAAGTCCAAGGAACAGGAATGGGCTTGGAGCTCAAGATGGAGAAACACTAAGCTTGCACTACAGGGGATTCAGAGAATGAAACTGTTTTTACCACTTACAGCCATGCACTTCAGACTTGAGTCTAAGTTACTTCCTATCCAGTGTACTATTGCCTTTGAAACTGACTATTCTTAGTCCAGCATAGTACAAGGAGACATATTCTTACATTCTTTGAAAAAGTCATCACCTAACAGAATTTATACATAGAAAGAGATTAAAATCAAGATTTTTAAAAGATTAAAATCAAAATTCCCAAGTAGAATTACCAAGACCCTAGCAATTTTGATCCAATCAGATTGTCTGACCTTGTCTCTTGCCATATATACTCATACTCCAAGCTCCAACTTTGTCATCTCACTCTAACCTTGCATTTGCTGTTAGCCATTCGGGGACAATGCCTGTAACTTGGTCAGCTCCTACTCATCCTTCATGACCGTTCACATATTGTCTCCAACTCTGTCATAGAGTATGGCTGCCTCCATTGTCAAATCAAGCACACACAGGTCACCTCCCTCTCCTGGACACACTGATATAGTGCCTAGATCCAGGAAGTGCTCCATTGATTTGAATCACTAGTTTGATGCTATAAAAGATTTACACTCTACACTTGATCTTAGCCAAAAGGCTGAGATGTGATAATTACATTCCAAACTCTAGAACACTCTGTAAGAGAACTATTTTTTCAAAGCTAGTTAATATTTGAAGTATAAACAAAGCAGTCTACAGAGATCAGAACTCAGCAGAGTCCCAACTGTCAGATCTACTACATAATTTGTGAGACCTAACACAAAATACAAAATTTCGGCTCCCTTTCCAAAAACTGTAAACAATTTGAAGGTGGTGACACCAGAACATTGAAACTAAGCCCAGAAACCTCTACAACTGCACACGTCACACATCTGGGAAACCATCATGAATTCATGTTTATTGGATGTACAATTTCCAACCAATCACTTAACCTACCTCGGGTTCTTTCCAGATATAAAATTAGGGGAGGGAAGATTACTTTCAGCTCCTTCTCTATAACTAACATCTGCGATTCTACTGAGGAGGGAGATCCATCATTTGAAAAGAGTTCTTTTAGCCTCTTATATAACCATGAAAATTCTGAGGGTGACACAAGACTGCTATTAAAAACTCATACATAGCATTTCACTTCCAACCACATTGATGCTTTTTATTTCTATACACCTCTTTAATTTTGCCTAAGAGAAAAAAATTGCAAAGCAGTGTTCCAAGTTTACTATTTTCCCATGTACGCCATGTAAATCTGAAATTCCCAATTGAGGTCTCTATATCTAGATAGTAATTTTTCCCACAGTAAAATGTCTCCTTGCACAAACTAGATACTTTCTTTTTTCTATCCCTGAAAAATTATCTATTCAGAATTAACTTCCACTTATGATATAGCATCTAGGTCAAATCCCACAAAGCAAATGTCATTCTGAGAGTGAGTTAACTCTTTCATTCCATCAGTTTTGCATCTTGTATGATAGACTAGTAACTATCTAAATGAGGGTCCAGGAACAGAGGGTCCACGGACAGAATTCTGGGAATCAACTAACTTGAATGTAAATATATATACAATTTGGTATTTCCGTCCATTACAGAGGCAGGCATTTAGCTTAAGAGATGAGATGCTAATTGAGATATGCACACCCCCTGCTGGAATGCCCGAGTCTCAGTCCTGATTTCTCTGTACTTTCTTGGTGATGCACCCTGGGAGACTGCAGGACAGGCAGGGGCTCAAGAGATTGGAGCTCTGCATGTGAGAGACCTGGACTGTTTTCATTGTTCCTGGCTTTGGCGTAGACTGAACTAGCAGCTGGAAATTCTCTTTCTCTGCCTCTCAAATACATAAACAGACATATATGTTATTTAGAATGTAGGTAACACAACATGACAATACCAATAGTACTTATGACTTGACCTCAATAAATATTGTCCACATTTCTATACCACATTACAATTGTGCAGATATCTTCTAGTAACAGCTTATACCCAACACTAACTCAAAATGGTAATAATATTAGATTCACAGTGAGATCTTAGGGTTTAATGTGTAAGTAAAAAGAAATATTAACACAAAAGTTATTTTATATTGAATAGCTATATTTCAGTAGAACTAGTTTCCCATATAACGTATTTCACATATTTAGTAACATAATTCCAAGGAAAGATTCACAAGATTCATCAGGCAACCCAAGGCACCTAAGAGGTGAAGACACTCTGGCCAAAAGAAGAAACAGAGCTTATAGACAAAAAAAAAAAAAAAAAAAAAAAACCTAAAGCAAATATACTCTAACCTTATAAGCTATAACCAAATCTTCCTAGTAAACGCAGTCTTTGAAATTCTAGTTCAACAGTAATGTGTATATTGCCACAAAATTTTCTTGGTCCATTTATTTTAATACAAGAGTAACATGTCAAAACAGAGCACATTTTGTTGCTCTTGCTGTGTTTTTGTTTTAACTATTTTTGTAGGTACTACCATGGGATTCCATCTGGAAATATGTAACACAGACACATGTTTTTACACCATTATATAAAATGTAATTTGAATTTGTACCTGAGAGGATAGTAGGTTACAATCAATGAACAGGCCTTTTCCAGTTTTATATCTTTGTATCAAACCAGCCATAATGGCTCCATAGGCATATAGGCCAGTGGCAAGATCAGTCATGGCTACTCCTGGACGAACTGGAGCTCCACCCTGTTTAAAGATCAAGTTGAGAAAACAGAAATTGAAAATTAAAACCAACATATGGCTTCCCAAATATTCTAAGGTTAAGTAGAAGAAAAAATCATATATGAAGTAGGCAGACACACAATAAAAATAAATACAACAAATTGGTACTGTGTATATTTATTGAAATGGGAATATATTTGCATTTATGGTGTAATTGTCAATCTATTCCTATCCTCATTGCCATTAACTACACTAAATCAAACTAATGAAATAAGCAATATTTATTTACTATTTATTTGACAGGCAGAGCAACAGAGGGAGAAAGAAGCAGGGACAGAGAACAAGAGCAAGAGCCAGAACAAGAAAGATCTTCCATCCATTAGTTTATCACCACATGGCCACAATTAACCATGTCTAGCCCAAATACTTCAAACATTTGCTGATGCCTTCCAAGGCACATTAACAGGAAACTAGTTCAGAAACAAAACTCAAATCACACCCTGACATGAGAAGCTGACAGTCCAAGCAGTGGCTAAACCCAATGTGTGACAGCTCCAACGAAAAATTAAGAAATTCTGAAAAAAAGACTTTTTTTTTTATTGGAAAGGTAGATTTACAGAGAGAGAGAAGGAGAGACAGAGGAAGATCTCCCACCCACTGATTCACTCCCCAAATGGCCACAAGTGCCAGAGCCTAGCTGATCCAAAGTCAGGTGCCAGGAACTTCTTTCAGGCCTGCCATGCGGGTTCAGGGTCCCAAGGCTCTGGGCCAGCCTCTACTGCTTGCCTAAGCGGTAAGCAGGGAGCTGAATGGGAAGTGGAGCAGCCGAGACATGAACCGACACCATATGAGATCGTGGCCATTGAGCCGTTGCACTGGCTCAAAATAAGAAATTCTTTAAAATACATCTGTACTTCCTTCTTAATATATTTACATTGTTTACATAATAAATATATACATTTAAATGCATTAATGTGTTGATTGGAAGAATTTAAAATTATATTTTTCTTCTGTTACATGACAAGCTCTTTGAGGAAAAAAGTACAGCAGTGGGCCTAATTTAATCTTGCTATAAACATGCTAACAGTTAGAAAATATACTAACTGAAAAATACAAAAATAATGTGATTTGCTTTAGGAAAGTAGAGAGGTCTCATCTTTAAAGTGATTTTACTAAGAACTGCTGTTTAGGTCAGTGATGACTGAAAAACGAAATTTAAAGGACACAAATTTAAAGGACAATGAATATAGGCCATGGCTATTATTTACATAAAATAGAAATGGTTTATGGTTTCATGAAAAGTATAAAACAAACACATAAATAAGTATATACATATATTTTCATAGAAAAACTATATAATGGAGACTACCATTCCTGGAAGTGAAAATACATTGCAATATATATCTCTACTCCCTGAAAAAAAAAGGACTCCCAATGAAAAAATTGAATATACCCTAACAATTTGACACTACATTTTCTACCATGGCCTATATCTATAATGTCATGATACATGTAAATGGCACAAAGCTAACTTGTGTTATTCAAACACTACACTACTATATCAAAATGAGAGAAAATGATGGTGGGGAGGGGGAAGGGCAGGGAGAAGAAAAGTAAAAGGGGATAATTTCTAAATAAAATATAAAATACAAAAATAATAAAATATAAAATGTAAAATTTTTAAATTAAATAAAATATAAATGGTTTCAGACTTTACAACATTCATTTCTATCTCAGGCATACTATGTACTTCATCCAGAACGTTCTCACTGCTCTGGAATATTTTGTGTACTGTGGAAGAAGGGATCTGAGGTCCTCTCTCAATGTCTGTGATCTCTCTGATTCTCTCATGCCTCTTGACTGTGTGAATTCTTAAAATTGTAAATTAAGCATCATATTATTTAACAACAACTGTAATTCATGTAGGATCTGATCTGACAATTCAATCCTTGAAGTATATGTAGCATACCGTCATTTTAATAGTATTTGGCTCCCCAAAACTCATGCAGACATTCGATCCATAAAGTCTTAAGTTCACGGTTAACATGTTACTCCTAGAGACTGGAGAATTCAAGAGTAAAGATTTCATCTAATTATGACATCTTGGCCATGAGACTGGAGAGACTATTGGGAGGTCTTTAGGTCATCGGGTGCTTGCCCTTGAAAGGCAGTTCCACAAAAAGGTAAGCTATGTGAGCCAAGTCTGGCCTAGCTTTTCACTCTGTCTTCTGCACCAATATGTGACCCTCCAACCACATTTATTCTGCCATCAGTCACCAGCATAATGAGATTGCCCACTTTTGGAATGAGAACCTCCAAACTCTAAACTGAAATAAACTTAGAAATAAACATTTCTAAGTCAATCCCAAAAGGAAAAATAGCATATGTTCTCTCTGATATATGGCAACCTTCTTGTAAAATATAAGCTTAACACCCCTTTCAATACTGTCTTTGCTATATCTCGTGGGTTTTGAAGTTTTTGTTTTTGTTTCTTAAAAATTTTATATTTTTCCTCCTGTTGTGGGTTTTGTGTTGTGGCTTTTCATTTAAGGTGATGTAGATCAGCTGTGTAATATGGATTGTCATATCCAGATATGAAGATACAATGCAGTATGTATCTCTACTTCCAAGTCAAAGATGGATTCCCAATGAGACTGTTAAATGTAACTTGACAATAGAATTCTAGACTCTGGGCCATTGCCCATACCTACAACGTCAAGATATACTTAAATAGCAGGATGACAGACTTAGGACTATTTGTGAAGGACTATAATACTATAACAATACAGGGGGAATTAGTGGTGTGGAGAAGGTTTGGGAAGGGAGTGGGGGAAATCCCAGAGCCTATGGAACTGCATCATAAAATAATTTTAAAATTAATTTTTAAAGAGAATTAAACATTTCTAAGATATCCCCTCAAATATTTCAGTTAAAATTAAGAAAAATAACAGGATTTGAATATATAGATTTTGATTATTGACTGGATGGAACATAAAAGAACTGAAATCAATCTGAGAAAACAATCAACTAGAACTGAAGCTTCCCCATGGGAAGGTAATATTCTGACAGAACACTCACTCTAGTCAATCGATTCACATCTTAGAATTATGATTATGACTACAGTCCATGATACAATTTTGTGGGTATACGGATTCCCTCCTCGTGCTCTTTCTGCTTCCCTGTTTTCCCCTCCCACCATTTTCCCTCAGATTATCAGTAGTATAATAATCCTTTAGTAACTGTTACAAGTTTAACTTTCTGCTATTTTAATATCTCATGGAACTGTAAGTAAAAATCATGGAAGAAAATCTAATATCAAATTGTCAGGGTTTATTTAACAGTTGCGTTTGGGGTCTTCCTTTTACACAGTAGAGACATGTACTGTCTTGACATATCATGGACACACTACCTAGAGACTGAAATAGAATGGTTATTTTTTTAACCATATACTCAATGATTTGAAGTTGCCACCCCATCCTTAATCCACATGTCTTCTATTAAACCTCAACAAGGTACAAGTCATGGAACAAACATGACAAATCAAGACTCAAAAAAAAAAAAAAAAAGACTGGGGTGGGGGGGGGAAACTAAATAATTTGTGCCATTCTCTAGATACCTTGTAGATAACTGTTTACCTAATAGTAATCATTTCTTTGTAACAATTAGGTAAAACCATGTGCTCTTCTAAATATTCAAGATGTAAATTAGAGTTTTAGACAAGAACATTGATTTGAAATAAGTACATTGATTAATTATTTCAACAGCTGTAGTCAAACAATGATCATCCCCGATATGCAATGTTTTGTCCCATGCAGTCCAAGTGCATCCAAAAACCACTCTTCTGCCACTCTGAAAAGGTGTAAATCAAAATCTTTTCCAGAAAATAGCTAAAATAATCCATACACCAATCACACTGTTTTCTTGCGTAGTGGTTAAAGGCCATCTAAATCATTCTGACTTAGCTCGCAGTGAGATGCCCAAAATATTATCTAGCCTGGCTGTCCTTGTGGGTTTAAATAAGCTAGGACTGGGAGAAAATGAAATGGAGATTAGGGGAATGTAATATTTTAAGGGATGGATTAAGAAATAGTTTAAAAAGCTATTTGCTTCTTTCCAAGATGTTCATTCACAAAAGAATTCCTAGTTAGAGTTTCTGTGCATAGGTTGGACAGAAGCAACAACAAATCTAATTAATTTCTCCAGCTTCTAAAGCATACTACTATCAACATTAATATATGCTAACACCTGCATATAATCAATCCTACACTTAACAAATGTCCTCTGAATTCAAAGGATGTAAAAATATATATATCTGAAGGACTACTATTCCAAACCCCTGCATTTATGCAGGTAAATTCCTAAATCATCTAAGAGAGATGCTTATCCACCTCTCTCTAAAGATCTTCAAAATTCTGAGAACATGCTAGACATGCTCTACAAGCAGAAAGAGTCTAGCATGATCCTTCAGACACTTGCCTACACATTAACTCATATAGTGTCAGTGCAGCCTTCAGTACCACTTTTATCTTACAAATTTTAAAAATGAGGCTCAGAGATATTAAGTGGAGCCAAGATTCCAAAACAGAACTGTTTCAAGGCCCAATATCTTTTACTTCATCATGCTAATAGAAACTATATGATCTGTTTCGTTATATATACTGCAATGCTTAGCATGCTGCTGCTCAAAGGGCAATTCGTTCAACCAGCTAAACCTTCTTTGATGTGAGCTAATTCTCTCTTATTTATTGTTCTGTGAACAATAAAAGTACTACTCCATATCCTCCCCATAAAAATAGATGAAAAGAGAAAGCAAAACATCTCTTTGCTTTCTATAAAGCAAACAAGCCTACAGATTTTCCTGGAAGAGGCTGTTTTATATCCCTGAGATAATTTTGGCCATTCTTTTACGTATCTTCTCTGATTACAACTGTTTAAAAGCATAATGACCCCAAATGAATCCCATCTGTTGTTTCTAGGTGCATATAAGAAACATGTAGGGTTCAGCATCATGATTCCATGGATAAACCTTCACCTTGCAAGTGCCAGGATCCCATATGGGTGCCAGTTTGTGTTCCGACTGTGCTACTTTTCATCCAGCTCCCGCAAATGGCCTGGGAAAGCAGTAGAAGCTGGTCCAAAGTTTTGAAATCCTGCACCCATGTGCAAGATCCAGAAGACACTCCAGAGTCTTGGCTTTGGATCAGCTCAGCTCCAACCATGTGGCCATTTGGGGAGTGAACCAATGGATAGAAGATCTTTCTCTCTGTCTCTTCTTCTCTCCATAAGTCTGAACTGTCTTTCCAATAAATAATACTAATACTAGTACTAATAAATATTTTTAAAAGAGAAAAAAAAAGAAGCATGGAAACGCCATATCTGCATCCAAGAATATGGATACGGAATGCAGGCATTGCAAAATCTGGCTCATCCTACTGCTATACAATGCAAGCCGTGGGAACTAATTTTCTAAACTATGACAATTTGTCATAAAATGCCTTTTAATATTGTTCTTTATTTAGACTTTCCCTTTATTGTTGCTATATTTGGTGTCAATCATCTTTTCCTCCAGAGACAATAGTTTAAGCAATCAGTTTGCCCATCTATATGTGTTTTAGGAATGTTTCCATCAACCATCAATGGAAAAGGAGTATTATAACTTTTTTCATGGTCAGAATCTATTGCATATGACAAAATAGAGACTGTTCCTGAGGCTTTAGGTAGCAAATATATAATCTGATTTTTCACACACATAATTTTTTATAATATTTCAGCAGAAAAAAAAAGAAACTGCCACATACACATGTCAATGCAAGCACTCTGGAACACACGAACATCCCTGGTATAGTCTAGTCAATCATTCCATGTCCCAGAAGAAATACTGCCAAATCATAAAAGGGTATTTATATTAAACTGGAATAACATAATAAATACAGAAAATGTGTTTTCCACCTTTGCTATTGCTACTTGCTAAGAAGCTGGCTCTTTTCCATGGGATCATATTGATGTTAAAAAGTACATTTGCAATGAACACTTCCATGTACTTTAATAAGTCACTTTCTCTGATTTCTTTCTTAAAAAAAAAAACATAACTCAAATGTAACCCTATAAGACAGTAGTGAGAAAAATTTCTCTAGAATATGTAAAGGGGGAAAATAGAAGTATCCTACAGAATACTTACCTCTGGCCCTGTGATGTGCATTAGACCAGAAACAGCAGAGGCAACAGCGTCATAACCAGCTCGCTGAGACAGTGGACCTGTCTGACCATACCCTAAAACAGGAGGAAGATGGACATTGTCAGCATGGTGCAGGCTGTGCTAAAAGCATTTTTACCAGAAACACTGCAACATTTGCGGGGGCGCAGGGGGGGTCTTTGTTTTGTTTTTGTTGTTGTTGTTGTTGTCGTTTTCTTGCTGCTAGATTTATACTCCTCTTGGAGGAGACAGTAAGAATTAATTATGCTTTACTTTAGAAAGTGAAAGACCATCCACTTGCAGGCCAAATGTAAACCAGATCAATAACATCTCGTCTGATACACAAGGCATGAATTCCACAGTGTATCAACATCTCCAACACTTCTTACTCAACTAGACTCGTCATGTAAATATAACTTAACCCCCAGACTACAATAACCACTTACTACCTTTAATCTGTACAGAACAAATTACAAGGCAAAGCAAAACAATGCCTCCCTGAACTCCATCTACAAATTCCTTAAGTTTTCTGGAGTATGCAAAAATACAAGAACGAAAGAAGACTGAAAAAATGCGGCATAAATAAAACTGCTGTCTCCCAACAGTGTTTTTTTAGATCGCCAAGAAACAGTAATTCTCTCGTGTTTCTTCCATCCCTTTCTCTTCCCTACCCCCGCCCTTTTAAATTTAATCAGTAAAAATAAACAGAACACTGCAAATATTTTCTCCTGCTAGTCACAGTTCCGTTACTTACTACCGAATAACAACTGTTATCACAGAAACTACATGAATCTGTGCCCAAGTCCCTGGTGATGTGCCAAGAGTGCCCTATTTGCTAAAATTTCTCACATACCCATTTTAGAGAGATGAGGACAAGGCCAAGGCCAGTTCTCCTGCTATCTCACACGCTCTCCTTTGATTCCACGCCATATACACAGACCTCACGGGCTTCCGGGGCTTCACCCAAACATGTTAATGAGAGACTTTATACCTGAATACCTTTTATAAAAAAATACTCTCACTACTCATAACTTTATTACCACAAATATGAATGTTTCAAGAAGTTCATGAAAACAGAATTAAAGCATTTACTTTGTGTAGCAAACTGTAATATTCATGCCTAGATTTTTATCATGAGAAGCATTTTTCATGAACTTTTTGAAAAATCCTTCAAATGTAACTTATCAGTTTACTTCGTCACTTCCCTTAACCAAAATATATGCTTCAGAACTTTTTTTCATTCAGTCCTCAGCTGTATCTCCACTATCTAGAACAGTTTCAGTAACGTCTATCAAAGAATAAATTAATGCTTGCTATTCAAAAATAATTATGTTTCTCAAAATGAAAAAATAGGGCCTGGCACAGTAGCCTAATGGCTAAAGGCTTTACCTTGCATGCGCCAGGATCCCATATCAGCACTGGTTTGTGTCCTGGCTGCTCCACTTCCCATCGAACTCCCTACTTGTGGCCTAGGAAAGCAGTAGAGGACAGACCAGAGGCTTGGGACCCTGCACCTGTGTAGAAGCCCCATAGGAGGCTCCTGGCTCCTGGCTTTGGATGGGGTTGGCTCCAGCCATTGCAGCTACTTGGGCAATGAACTGGTAAGTGGAAGATCTTTGTCTATAAATTATGAAATTTCAATGAGAATAAAGCCTTAAAAAATGAAACAATCTGTAAAACATAAATTAAATAAGAAACTAAAATGGCAAGTGATAGGTTGATCTAATCACCAATCCACCTTTCCAGCTGCATTTGCAACTAGAAACAGTCTTTGTCAGAATTGGAGCCATGTGAAACAAAGTTGGCTCATGGAAAGATAACTTAATACCAAGGAATGAAAAGGTTCAAGAGCATATCACTTACTGACGGAACATTCCTCTTCCCATACTTTAGGAATTTTCAAAGAAACAAAAATGGAGAGCACATATAGTAAGTCCATCTGGGCCCAGCACAGTAACCTAGTAGCCAAAGTCCTTGCCTTGAACATGCTGGGACCCCATATGAGTGCTGATTTTAACCCTGGCGGCCACATTTCCCATCTAGCTCCCTGCTTGTGGCCTAGGAGAGCAGTAAAGGACAGCCCAGGGCCTTGGGACCCTGCACCCACATGGGAAACCCAGAGTAACCTCCTGGCTCCTGGCTTCAGATCAGCTCAGCTCTGGCCGTTTTGGCCACTTGGAGAGTGAATCAGCAGATGGAAGATTTTCCTGTCTCTCCTCCTCTCTGTATATCTGACTTTTCAATAAAAATAAAAAATTTTAATAAACAAATAAATCCATCTGCAATGTCAATAATTATTTATGACCAAATAAACTGATTTCATGAACGATAAAACTTTAAGGAAACCCAAATGTCTTGATTGAAGTAAAAGTGGCTTATCTGACAATTTCAAAATCATAATTTATAAGTTCTGAACTATTTTTAAATCTTTCAAAAGGTAAAAATGTAATGTGATGGGAGCCTCAAAGTAAACAAAGCATAATTGCATTTTCTCCATGCAACAATACAGAAATTCTTGCCAATCTTTAGGGACTAGCTGTCGAGGCAGCTGCAAAGGGTACTCTGGCCCAGACTTCTCAGCTATCAGCACCATGATTTCAAACTACCTGAAGGGCAGGAATACCTGTAACCTGTGAATCACTTGCTATTGCAACAAGAAATCAAGAGAAAGATTAGGATCCATTTCGCTCTAGGTTGAGACATTCAGGTGTTTCTGGCACAAATCTGATAAGGGCAAACTGAGGCACCTCACTATCAACACAGCTTTAAATAAAATCTTCTCAATAAAGTCCTCAGGAAAATATGCTCAAAAAAAAAAAAACTTGCTAACTAAACGTGCACCATCATAGTTGCTTGTGATACAAATGCCCTTTTGTTCTGCTTACAACAAAAAGGAGGCACAAACACCATAATTACTTTAAACGGAAATTTTGAAGTAATCCTATTAAAGGAAAATATAGTTACTGTCAATGGAGGCAGTATGGCAACAAAGAGAGAGAAAGAGAGAGAGAGAGAGAATTCTGGCATGGAGAAAAAAAAAAAACCTAGGTTCAAATTATAGCTCTGCCAACCATTCTGTCTTCCACAAATCATTAATTTTCCCTGAGTCTCCAAGTCCACATCTGTAAAACGAAAGTATTCACATTTCTCTTACAGATTTCTTTTTTTCTTTTTTTTTATTTGTTGAGTTTTTGTTGTTGTTGTTGTCTGTTTTCATTTTTTTTGAGAGAGAAACAAAGGGATTCTACCTGCTCTCTGAATTTCCAAATACCTATAAGAATCAGAGGTGGACCTAGTCAAAGCCAGGATCCAAAACTCCACTCTCAGTTTCCTGTGTGAGTGCCAGGGTCCCAACAACTTGACCTATCTTTCCTATCTCTCTGGGTCTACATTAACAAGAATGTAGGAGCCAGAGCCAAGACTCAAATGCAGGCACTTCAATACAGCTCACAGGCAGCCCAACCAGTGACGTAACCACTAGGAAAAATACCTTCCTCTAGCTCATTGGTTTCTAATGAGAATTTAATTAGAACCTATTGAGAACAAAAGGAAAACTGCATTATTTTAAAAGGATAGAAACACATATTTTAAGCACTAAAGTTACATTCCTTAATCATTTATAAAAATGGAAATATTTTATACTTCAAACCGTGTAGTTAATTGATACAGATCTCAAACAAGTCCAAAATATTTTATACATTTTCACCACTTAATTATTTGAGCACTATCATTAATATTAACAAAAACCCATAACAATAAACAAAGTATTAAAGCAGAAAACCAACATTATTATGTTGGCAAGGTAAAAAATTAACTGATTTGTTGATAATTTAATAAGACCTGAAAAATGGTAAGAGAAATGGTAATAATGTAAACCAGAGAATCCTTTTTATTTTTAGCTTTACAATTCCAAAACCAACTTTAATTAAACTCTAAATTGAAGATGAAATAATTAAACATGTTAGTTCTATTATATTCAAGTATGGAAAGAAAAAAAGTTAAGTAGTTCACACAAAATCAAGGAACACACACTCTGGCTCTTGCCCTCCTGCTATCTCTCCACTCAGCTTCCACTTTCATGTATTTTAAGGAGCAACCTCGCCATCTTGTGGCTGCAATGAACATTGACTGTAACACAAACCTAAGACAGACCTCAGTAAAAAACGCAGGAGGAAATTGATAGATTTCTCTCCTTAACTCTCATACTTACCTGAACACCATATGATCTAGACTGTCAAGACCTGGATTCACTCATTTTTTTTTTCTTAATGGTATCTAGCCTTATGTTTTATTTCCTCTACTTAAGAGCTCTTAAATAGGCGCAATCACTGACACTCGTTTTCCATAACTCCTATAACACCTGCCACAGTGTATAATTCAGCAACATTCATTCGCCCCTTTGGAGGTTACATGCTAGTATGGTGGCTCAATAGCATAACCATCTGCCTGCAAGTGCTGGTATCCCATATGGGCATTAGTTAATGTCCCTGCTACTCCCCCTGCCAATTAACCCTCCTTATGGTCTGGGAAAGCAGCAAAGAATGGCTCAAGTCCTTGGAATCCTGCACCCACCAGGGAAACTCAGCTCCTGGTTCCTGGATTTGAGTCAGCTCAACTCCAGTCATTTGGGGCATGGACCAGTGGATGCAAGATCTTTGTCTCTTCTCTCTATAAATCTGCCTTTCCAATAAAAATGTACAAATCTTTTTAAAAATTATTTAATCATTAATTTGATGAGCCTGGCCCACCTGTGTCATCCCAAATGAGTGCCAGTTCACATGGTGTCCCAGCTACTCCACTTCCCATCCAGCTCCCTGATAGTGACTTGCTCAGGAAAGCAGTAGAGGATGACTCAAGTCCTTAGACCCCCGTAACCACTTTAGAGACCTAGAAGTTTCTAGATCCTGGCTTTAGATTGCCTCAGCTCTGGCCCTTGTGGCTTTCTGGAGAGTGAACCAGCAGATGAAAAAACTATCTATTCTTCTTGCAGTAAGTATGCCTTTAATAAATCCTTAAAGAGCCAGGAGTTCCTATTTGGACAGTGTCCAAGACTTCAGCCATCTTCTGCTGCTTTCCC